AAACCCTAAACCCTTAAACATCCTCTGAGTCCTTCACCCTGGCCACCAGCTCCTCTTGTGCTGGTCCATTGGGAGCTGTCAGTGAGGCGCTGCGGCCATCCTGTAGCAAGTTCTAATAGGGATAATGGCATAGAAAATGGAAACTACTACATTGCCGATAATGGAAAAGAAAATGGAAACTACTACATTAGGGATAATGGAAAAGAAACTGGGGACTACTACATTACGGATAATGGAAAAGAAAATGGAAACTACTACATTGGATATAATTGAAAAGAAAATGGAAACATTATACTATGTTAACAGGGATTCTATTCCTGTATTCACACACTAAGAACCAGTAAGTTTAGATGAAATGGTTATGCCTTGACTACGGTAGATCACAGAGCCTGTCCACAGCCAGTGGATCGGAGGATGCCCATGCTCTGCTCAGGAGTGTAGCCGCCCCATTTCATCATGAAGCCACCTTGGATTCACATGCACCCTAAACCCTTAACCCCTGATGTCACAAATTTTCTGCTCGGATGTAACAAGTGCCGAGCTCACACCTTCTCCTCGCAGGTATCCTGCGAAACAAAGCGCATGGGGTTTAGGGTGTAGAGTTTAGGGTTTAGGGTTGCATGCAGAAATTCGTGGGATTATTGAGGTGGCTACCATCTGCAGAGGCGTTGAAGGTAAAGCAGCGGCCCTTGGGGCTGGACCTGAGAGGTCACGTTGGGCTGATACCACCTATTATTCTTATTAGTACTACAACTATTACAGTACCATATTACCTTATTTCATTTACTATATTACCATACTATTATGTTACTATATCACTATATCCCTGTGTCACTATACCCACGTCTAAGTCTAAGTGGCAGGCATGTGAGACTGGGAGCAGCCGATGAAGGGCCCAGGAGATAGACACAGGTGGGCACCTTCCAGTCAAATCAACTTTCCTGCCCAGGCGCTACTGTTGATGGATGAAATCTTGCACCACCTAAAGCCCCTAAAGTCCTAGGAATTACAGTAGTTTAGGGCCCCTAGGTGGTGCAAGATTTCATCCATCAACAGTACCAAAAATGCTACTAAGACAGGCACCCATTGAGATAAAGAATTCCAGTGGATCAAACTTCTGGTTGCCTAAGCAGTTCAATGTTGGTCACGCATACCTCCATGCAGTCCTCAGCAGCCTTCAACTTCTCTGGTGTTGTCAGAATAACAGCGCTGGGCCGGCCGCTGATCATGAATCTGGCACAGTGCCTACATGCAAGACAGAGACATGAGTCTCTTTGCACATGACACACAGCAAAGCTGCAAGACACACGAGTCATCCACTTGACAATCACAAAGTCTGCATTTATGCAGTAAGGCTTCCGCGTTGACGTCAGGGAAGCTGAACAAGCAGTATCGCAAACGAAGTTCGGGCCTGGCAAGCCCACGGCTGACAGGAGCTCACTTCCGTTCGAGTCCGGGTGGAGTACCTTTCAAGTTGAAAACGAAGCTGAATCGGTTCGCAATGATGGCCAGGACCTCGGACAGCAATCATCAAAGCAGAACAGATCGTCAAAGCATTGTCGCAGCTTGGGCAGTGACAGTGCTGGTACCGGAAGGGGTACCCTCCTTCGGGCAGGTCATCCAATCCTTGGCAACAATGCTGTTGATGTCATTGCCTGCTTAGGAAGCAGCAGGAACATGGAATCATAATGGAAAATGAAATGGAAACTACCAAAATGGGTTATATAGGGTATATATTGGGGATATATTGGGATAATATAGGGATAATGGAAATTAAAGTGGAAACTACTATAGTATGAGCCCGAGGAAGAAGCCAGCTTGTCGTTTCCCACACAGAAGCCAGCATGCGTGGATTTTCGGTTGCACTCCTGACGGGTCGAAGCAAGATTACCTGATCAACTTCACAAAAGCTGCTTTACTGCCATTTTTGGTATTATGACCGTTATTCTTGTTACTTATTAGTGTTATAACTTCAATATTATCTTATGATTACTGTAACTATTTATTATTGGCCTTTTTGGTGAGGCCCACCATGGCCATGCTCTGAGCACCACCTTGGAAACTCTGAAGCTTATGCCGTGCAGAGGTGATCTTTCAATTTGGTGTTTAGGGCGTTTCCTACTTCTCCGCCTTTTCTCCCACCAACTCGGGCTGTGACATCTTGGTCACGACAAACACCGCTACTTAACACACCATGTTGTACAGCTGAGAATCTCCAAAAAAAAATGCGCTTCACTTGCGACTTGCTTTCCCTGTCACGCGACGGGTTCTGGCTGAACCTGGCTTTCAAGGTCAAAGGTTCAAAGGATGTCATGCGCTCTTCCTCGCACATCCTCTACGGTAGCATGCCTGCATTCTGGATGAAGGCAGCAGCACCACCAAACATGTTGCGTGCGAGAATGAAGAGACAAATATGTAGAGGTTCCAAAAGATACGTAGTTTAGGTGAAGGTTGCAGGTTTTTGCACGCACAAAGCTTTACATCTTGGAGATGTCAGGACTTTGCTGTCCAAGTCTTTTCCGCCTTCAGAGTACAATCGCACGCCACTTGCACCCCCGCTTGAACGCGACAATGCTCAAAGTACTGTGTTTGCCACATCATTTAGAGCCCAGGGACTGAGGTTTCGAGCTTAGGGACTCAAAGGCCTAGGGGCTTTTTGCGGCTTCAAGAGTCAGGGATTGTTGGCTTGGGGTAAGAAATTTCGGCGTTCAGGAGTCGCATGGGTTGTGAGGTGTAAGACTCCTGGCTTGGGGTTTGAAAGGGGTTTTTGAATAAGCACGGTTGATCTTCAGCTTGAGGGGCTTGAGGGCTTGGGATCGCGGAATTTGGTCCGGGTTAAGGGTTTTGGTGGGCATTGGCGGGTTTGCGGCCTTGATGCTGTGAGACGGTATTGGGATTTCGGTTTTGGGATTTAGGGTCAATACACTTCAGGCTTTTGGTCCTTTTGGATGGGGTTGGGAGTCTTTGCGCTTTCTGGGTTGCAGTTGGATGTTGGTCTTGCGGCTTCGGCTTCGAAAGCTCTGAGTTCTGAGGATTTCAGGCTTCAGCTTCCGGGTGGGGTATAGGATTTTGAGGTCCTGGGTGCATGGGGCTTGGGTTCCTGCTTAGAGTTTGGGGCGCTTTAGGGCTTAGGTTAAGGGGTGCTTAGGATTTGGGGTTTCTGGCGGCTCGGGCTGTAGGATTTGGAGTTGTTGGGGCTCAGAGCTGTTAAGGGTCTAGGGTAGTTCAGGCTTGTTTGGGCTTAAGGCTTACTGGCTGGCTAGGGTTCAAGGATTGAAGTTTCTGGTTTTGGGCTTGTTTATGCCATGGGGCTTCTTGCTGTTCAGCGCTTGGGGTTTGCAGTGCGGCTGCAACTGCTATGTTTCAGACCTTTCCATGAACAGGATTGAGGGCTTCGGGTTCTTCAGGGCTGTTTAATCTTTGCTGTGGACTTTGGAGCTGTTTTTGGATGCAGCATTTAAGGGTTGTTTAAGGTTCGGGGTCTTGGGCTGCAAGGTTTCGGGCAGCTTGAAGATCTTCGAGTTTGGGGAAATGGGATCCCCCAAAAGCGAGGCACCTTCACATCTTTCACAGCTTCCATGTGCGGTTCTTAAAGGATTGAGGTTTGCTTCGTTGGGGGGGATGTTGTTTCAGATTTAGGTCTTAGGGTTCTTTAAGTTTAAGATTTAGGGTTGTTTCGGGTTTGGGGCTGATTAGTTGACTAAGGTTTCGGGTGCGACGTTGTCTATAAGGTTTACGACCTTGCAGAAACATTATGTTGAGACGAGACCGGGGAGGTTCCCAAAATGGGAGAACCCCAAGTAGCTTCCATGTTCTTTTCCAGTATATCCCCTATGTACCCCTACATACCCCTATGCAACCCGTAAGTTGGGGAAACCCTAGAAACGCTAAACCCTAAACCCCTAAACCAACCAACCAACGAACCAACCAACCAACCAACCAACCAACCAACCAACCGATCAGACCGGCAAGCCAACAAAGCATCAGACCGACACACGCCAACCAGCCGATCAATCGACGCCCATGTGAGCACATATTATATGAGCTATAGTCAAAACATGTCTAAACTTCTTAAAGGGGGCTACATAGGGAATTATCTACGGGGTTATATAGGGGAGAAATATAAGGGATTATTACGGGGATACTGGGAGTTGAGACTATGGCTCACCTGGTCCTGAAGCAGCCCGCAGACTGAAGGACTGACAGAGAGCGCATATGAAATTATCTAATTTTATAGAATTAGAAGCCCCTTCGCCAAATAGAACACAAAGGTCCATGCCACATAGGGTTATAGAAGGGCGAGATCTCAGAATGGCCTGAGGGTTCTATGCAACCATCCTCAGGCAAGCGAATTCCTAGGTAGTGGACAAGAACCCCCAAGTTTAGGATCTGCTGTCTTGGTCTGTTGGTGGTGTTTTGCTCTTTTGCATTGGAGGGGGATCTAGTGGTCTTGGCTTGCCCGTACAGCGCAAGTTGTCCGAATCGAGCAGTGTCCAGCCGGAAGTAGCACCCTCTTCACATCTCGGGGTGTTTTGGGATTGTGGAGGGCACGGGTAGGGAAAGAGTCACCGCCCATAGGAAAAGTTACATGGCACCCCCTTATCGCTTTACGACGTTTTCGGATGTTGCGAGGCAAAGGAAGCAGGCAACTGTACATTGAAAAGCAGCTTCTCTGGCGAAGGTTTTGGGACGGATGGCAGGGCAAGGTTGGGCCACTTAACGTTTCGCTTTGTTGGCTGGTGGGAGGTTGTCTGTCCATCCAAAGTTGGGTGCGCAGTTCTTGGTTGAGTTGAGGCTTAGTTTTGCCGTTGAGGTTGTTTGAGGCTTGGACTTTGGGGTTGTTTAGGGTTTCGATTTTCGAGTTGTTCCGGGTACAGGGTTCGGGGCTGTCCAAGGTTTAGGGGTTGCGTGTTTGTTTAAAACGAGCCGTGGTTTAAGTTTTTACGCCTCAGGCCTCAGAATTGTTTCAGGTTTAGGGTTGAGGCTTGGTTTTATACGCCTTTTTCATCTGAATGACAAACGGAAAAACTCCCGTTCAGACGATCAAGACCTAACTGTTCGGGTTCAGGGTTTGGGATTCCGGCTTTAGGGTTGTGGCTTCTTGTTTGCAGTGTTAAGTTGTGTTTAGCTTTTAGGTCCCTTCGGTGGATGAGGTTTGGTTGGAAGAGGTCGTGTTGATCAGGGTTTAGGGGTCATAGGATTTCGATGCTAGGGCCTAGGGCTTGGTGCTTTTGGAGTTTAGAGCCCCGAGCTGGTTAGGCTTTAGGTGTTGATCTGCATTCTCTAAACCATCCCAACGAACCTAAGCCATGAACCACCCAAATCCGCCGCAAGCCGCGATCCACCCTGAACAACCCCTCGCACACTGCAGCACCCTAAATAATCATCCCAAAATACTAACCCACCCTAAACTAGACAAACTCCCAAAATCCTGAACAAGCTGAACGAGCCAAAGCCATAAACCCTAGACAACCCTAAAATTGCTAAACCCTAAACCCCCGAACCCTTAGCAACCCACGCCTGAACCCAACACCATCCTTGAAAGGCCTAACCCAAAACCCTTAAACCAACAAAAAACTGCGCAACACGAAACCATAAACTACCCTGAACAACCCTGAGACCTAAACCACCCTAGCCTTAGCGCCTAAACAACCCCCGAGCCCTACTCAGCCATAATCCACCCTAAACAACCCCAACTTCACTTCCTCCTCAACGAGCACAAACCTTACACCTTGATCAGCCCCTAACCCGAAACCTTGAAAAAATGAGTCTATACCCTAAACACCCCAGGCCCTACACCTAATTGGGGCTTAGGCAACACCTGAAACAACCCTTAGCCTCTTTGGGGGGTTCTCCATAGTACAGGCTATAGTAGATTGGGGTCCATATGAGGGTCCCCTATTTTTGCACGCTGTAGAGGCTGTGGCAGCAGCAGCAGCAGCAGCAGTAGCAGTGGCAGTACCCTGGTGGTGAGACTCCAGATCGTGTCCTAAGATAACAGGTCGGGCTGGCCCATATAACCCTAGTTTCCGTTTCAGCTTCCATGTTGCTTTTCCATTTGATTCTCCATCATTCCTGCATCCCACATAAACCCTGTATAAGCCCTGTGTATCCCTACTATCTCTTGAGAAGACGCGGGCAGTGTCCAGTGAAGAAACTGACTTGGCTGAACCTGCCCCGTCAATGTCTGAAAAAAATGTGATTCACATGATTTTTGCGTCATGGAAGTTCAGCGCCTTACAACCGCAAGACGTCTTTAAAGCACGTGCCTTGATGCTTCAAACTGACATCTCACCCAGAATGAACAGGCCAGTCTGAGGGAGCAACATTCAAGTACCAATCGCTGCACAGGATCCATGGAGTTTGCCTGTATGCGCTTGCTAGCAAGCAGCAGGAAACTTTGCAATAGCAAAACTCTCCGTCCAGCTACTCAGCCTCGTTGTTGGAGATTTCGAAGTAGCGGTTGTCAAAGAACTCGGCTCCCTCACAGTACGACTGGTGCCGGGTCCTCACGACTTCCACGATCAACACAAACAATCAGAGAGAACTCTCAGAAAGCGGCTTGCTTAGGCGCGAACGTCGTCTGCCAAGGCTCGAAGACATTCTCATCTGGATTCCAATACACGCTGACATCCCATCCTGCACACTTGAAGAGCTAAGTGTGATGCTTCGTTAGTAGGGCCACTTAGGTCGCTGCGACAGATAGGGATCTGGATGATGGTATCAGTGCCGGAGTTCAAGGCAGCCCAGTTGTGCCACTGGCCTCTGCAACAGCTACTGCGCCAAAACCGCGGCAAGCATGGCTTAGGACACCTGAGGCCCACAAAGCCATGCACAACGCCAGGCTTACAAGATCAAGCCAGGACGTCGCGGGTAGCAAGGCGGTGAGTTCCTCCTCCCCCTAACGTCACCAAGTTTAGACTGGGTAGTGGGCATGAGAACAAATGAATCCTTCCATCCAAGCTGTACTGGGTATTTGGGGGGGGGTCCAGATACAGATGAAAGGCCTTCAGGATACAGTTTCAATTTCCTTGCAAATGGAGGGAATGAGGGCAGGCTTATGCCGATGAGTTGGCAAAGCTAGTTTAAAGCCCTCACACCAAGATACCTTTTTCTTTGGTTCACAGGCATCTGCAGTTTCAAGAACACCTCTGCCTCGGACGTGTCAAGTTCTAGGACATCTCAGCCAAGCAAGTGGGCAAAGGTTGGTTGGCACTGAACAGCCCATGCAATGGAGGCATCTGGGCAGTAACCGCGCTGCGAAGCTCTTCGAGGCCCGGAGCAGGAGCGGCTTGAGGACAATCAGAGGTACCGGTCTCTAGCGACTAATGGCACCCAAAGCGCTCACCATGTCTATAGCTGGCAAGATAAAGCAGTCGTGCAAACTTCACCGAGATGGGCCACACAGGAAAGAGGGCTGAGGAGAGGATAGGGGGACGGCGCTTCAGGAAGTCCATCTGCACAAGGAAGGAAGCCCCACAGACAGCACCCCTCCCGCACCTATGAACAAGTGAACGTGATATGTACTTTTGCTGCCCATCTGCCGCAATCACTCACCAGGCATGGTATGACAGACGAGCAAACAGCCAATGCCATTGAAACTGCCCAATCATGAGCCCCTCGCTGTCGCAGTTGCCGGGGAGACGGGCAACAGTGTTCATGACCTTGTCTTCACAGGCATTGGGCTTGACTGCACCCTGTGGCATAGCTTCAGGTCTAGAGTAACAGAAAGTTCAGTATGGGGCATGAATATGTTCGCTGCCGGCTGGAGGAGGCGGGCCCTCCTCCTTCAGCAGCCAGTCTGTGTCCCCCTGAATGTCGCCAAAGACCTCTTGAAGCATGTCACAGTTGGATTACCTCACTCAACCAGCAGGAGACGCACCATCTCGGGGACAGCAGCCAGAAAGTTGGTGATGAGCATGAGAGTGTCCTTTGGGGCCACGCCTGGCATTGCGGACATCGCCATTCACATGCCTACTGCTCAAGGTTGCCACTAGCCAACTGCGGTCTAAAGGCTGGGACAAAGCCTGAACTCCTGAACAAGCCTCCACTTAGGCTCAAAGAAGTTTGCCTAGCATGAGGAAGCAGCTCATGGGGCCGATGCAAAAACACAAACACAACAGAGAACCAAGGCTTACAACCGCTTGTCACTAAATTCTTGGTGACCCCTGAAGCAACACTGTCAAGAATGCATCACCACCCTAACCCAAAGGCATAGCTAAGAGTCAACAATATATCCCCGGAAGGGTACATGAAGGGACTCGTGGCTTTGGGTTTCTTTTTTTGGGAGAGTCTTCAAGGCAGTCCTTGCAAACATTTCAGAAAAGCGTTGCCGAAAGTAATGGTTCAACCCTGGGGTTGTAAAGAGGAAGCCTACCGTTTGCAGTCGCCAACCTCAAAAGTCTTGTGGACTCTTGGAGTGGTCGTGCACGTCAACACTCCAACAGTGAGAGGATCAGGGTCGCCCCTCGCGTAGTTTGTAAGTGTGGTTGTTCTTGGACCTGTTTCTGTGTTGGGGAAAACTCTGCGCGTCAAACACAACCACAATTGCAGGCTGAGTGAAATTACAACATGTGCTACAACTCTATGGGTTACAAGCATGTCCGGGATGCTATGCTGCCAGCAAAAGACATCCGATAGGAAGGTGCAGTAGCCAAGAACTCAGAAGCTTGCAAACCGTTGGGAAGCTGATTGCCAAACATGCAGGCGCGCAGGTGTAGTCGTACACGTCTGGTCTGAATAACCTGGACACAACGGCACTCTTCCCTCATGTTGCTCAAGCAAAGACACACCAATGCTGGGCTACGCACAGAACTGTGTTTGGAGCAGCTGTAATCTTCATGTTGTCAATCAGGCTGGGGACCTCTACACAGGAACCGGAAAATTCAAAAGGGCTCCTCTGACAGCCAGGCCACCAAAGCTATCTCCCCAAGCCAAAGCATGCGCCCGAGCCTTGCTAGCTTTAGAAGTTTCACGCGCATCCAGCTCCACTTCAGCCGGAAACGGCCTGAGTCATACTGTTTCAGCAGTCCTGGAAATTCCAGCACAAGGCAGTGATAAGCTGGACACCCCATGAAATGCACAGCTCTCACCAAGCTGCGCCTGCCAAATACAACGTGCATTGAAGAACAACTACCTGTTGTGAAGGCTGTGCCAGCCTCCACGTTTGCAGGAATGTTCCTAGAGACTCATCGCTGGCCTCGCATGACGCACCAAGGCTGCTGAGGTGCCAAGCTGCAGGAAAGCACACGCCAGTTTGCAAAGATGCCTCTGGACAGGGATATTCAGAGTCGGCAGCACCATCAATGGTGAGGCACACCTTGGTGCTCTTGAGCTGGAATCCAAAAGAGGGCACAGCATGCGACACAGCCCAGGTGAGACACCAATCCAGGTGTTCTCGAGTCAAGCTGACCATCTAGAACATCACCAGCATATGGTTGGATCGACTGGCAGTCAGATGAAATCAGATCCACGCTCTAGATACAAGAACCTTTATGGGGGCATGGTGATCATGTGGACACCACCCCGTGCGTCACCTACAATTTCCTAGCAAGCGATGCTGCACAATGGCGGGCCAGCACTGTGCTGTTTGTGAGCCATTCTAACCTGGCCTGTGCGAGATAAGAGAGGTTGGCATCGTTGCTCTTCAATGCAGGGTCCTCTTCGTAGGCAATTCTACAATTAAGTCTACTGCAACAGATACACTCCGCAGATGCAAGTGTGATTCCTGGTCCAAATCACCTGCAGAGTCGAGCCAAGCAACTCTCCCTCGGCAGCTAAAGCCTTAGTCAACGGTTTTCTGGAACATATGGTGTACTCGTTCCCCAAGTTGCCTTGCCAACGCGCTGCTTCATAGTGAGTCTGATCTCACAAGCATGCCAGTGTAGAGCCTCAAACTGACACAAGGATTCCAGGATCCGTGCCCAGGTAGCCCTGCTCAACCTCCTCTGGAAAGCGTGACCTGCTGACGTTCCAAAGTAGTCCATGCATGCGGAGACGTTTACTGGGCTGCAGGCAATCTGTTCATGCTTCCCAGATCCTGCTCAGCATGCAATAGAATACATGCACTAGTCCAAACAAACTTTGAAAACAAGAAAAAGCACCTGCATTCTCACTAGAGCTTGATGTGCTAGTCTTGCACCTGACACACCCCAGGGTAAGTCTCAGGCTGACAATTTTCAGCTGAGGTCCAGACTTTGGCAAATTCTCAGGACACAGAACCCCTTCCTGGCCACAGTCGAAGAATGAATGATCGTGCAGATTTGGGAACATAATCAGGACACATCAGGTCTTTCAGAAAGGTTGACTAGCGCACAATCATGCACAGGCGACTCCATAAGACAGGTTGAGATTTCACCGCCCATGATTTTGCCATCAGTCCGAGGCCCGACTAAGACCTCAGCCGACATGAAGGCTGAAAACGTTCACGGAAAGTTACCGAACAAAGGCCACCACATCAAAGCTCTCAGGTGAACCGCCTTCGCCGGGTCGTCTAGGCGCCTGGCAGAAAAATCGCTGCATCTACACGAGCAACAGTCTTATTAATCTTCCCGCCCAGATGAAACTTTCAAACCACAGGTAGCCTCCGCAGCCCTCACGTTCGAGGGATGGAAGTAGCCAGCCTCAAAATGCACCGCTCGAAAAATGGAACAAAAAGCAACTGTCTGAATCTGGGGCCCTTGCAGCACCGCAGCTAAGGTACACGTGGAACTTTCCAGAGGCACTATCAAAGCTCACCGCCTCGCAACAAATGTGTTGAAATCTTTGTGTTTCCGCGCGCAAGAATAAATACCAGCTGACAGCTCGGCCTGTCCGACGGAACCGTTGATGTCCTGGTCGTACGCCTGTCCGGTCGGCTAGATGCATCGAGAATGAACGTGAAGATTTGGCCGCAACCTGAAGTTCAGCCGATGAAAGGCCGAAAACTTCCACAAGACCACCCAGTCGGATCCTGCAAACATGATTCGTGAAGCCAAATGTGCATGTGTGGGATTGCCATGGCATCTTGACGTCGCCGCAAAAGTCGAAAAGCCGAAAGATTCCGTGCAACAAGGTAGCGGTCCCTTCAACCACTGGCTCCAGCAAGGCCTGTCACATCTCAGGACTTAACATTGTTACAAACAACAGGTTGGTTCTAGACACTGCTGCTTCTGTGCCACACGATTACGACACAGCTTGCCTTGGCAGTTGCTGACGGTGATGGAGACGCTGGCAGTTGTTGCTGATGCAGCATCATCGTGCAAACCTTCAAACATTCTACAAAACATGTATTATCCCGCACGCTTACAAACACTTAACTGATCAGCTGCTCAGCAGCACAAAAACCAGGCACATTAGCAAAACTAAGCCAGAATTCTGAATGCATAATTGATCCGAATGCGATGACATTATGGCATGCGACCAAACAACACGTTGTTCACGTGTGAGTTGCCTGCAGGCGTGCAGGCAGGCCAGCGGCAAAACGATGAAGAACTAGACGCCGAAACAGCTGGTTGTTATGTTGCGAGGGTGAAGTCTAAACGAAACCATTCGCGCAAAACAACTTCCAAAACTTGACATCACAAAAAAAGTGACAAAGTGAATTGGCTAATGATACTGTTTTGAGCCAAGGACTTGCGCAATATCTTTGTTTTTACTGAAACATGATACGTCTTGCCAGCTGTGAAAACCGAATCTACACAATCCAAAACAAACCCTGCTTGTAAACTCTGGAACGAAGGAAACCACTGTGGAAATCGACAAAATCCTGCTGGAAGGCGGTAATGAAGCCCAAACCAACCATTGGGTTGGCAGGCTCGGCTTGCTGGTGTCTAGTTGCGGCTTTCAGGTGGCAGCGAAACGCATGGAGCAACAGGCCTTGGGTTTTGTAAATCGATCACACGTCTGGAAAAAACACGCACAACAACTCAAACGCGTGACCCTTGGGATGTGTCATTCCCAAATTCCCATAATCTTTTTATTTTGCGCATTTGCGAACTGAAACGCAACAACATTGAGACCGGCAAATGTGAAAAATCTAAACGGCATGAAGCGCCCCGAACGAAAGTGTTGGCTGTGGGGTCATCTTGCTTCACATCAACACTCAAGGGTCCTGCTAAGGCTTTGTGTTGGCTGCTGCCAACGTTGTAATAGGACATTTCTTAAGCGCACAAAAGCACCACCAATATTTGGGACGGTTATCCAGGCCGTCTTTAATTCAAAATTGAAAATAAAACCGTGGGATGTTTGCTACGACCATTTGTGGTTCAAGTCGGGTGCCAAATCCTGAAAATCAATTTCATGTTTTGTTCATTAACAACCCCCCACACATGGAAATCAACTTTTGAAGGCTCCATGGCAAATAGGCGAATAAATTCACTTCATGCTTTGACTAATCCGTTACGCACCCTAAGGAACGCGAAGCACGCCTTGTTTTTCACTTGAAGGGCAAGGAAAGGTCCAGCAGCCAACGCGTAAGTAAGTAAATTCAGACGGACCAAAAGACGCTGCTGGACATGAATCTGAAGCGCCACAAACCCGGCGTCGATCACAACCAAATCCAAGGCATGTTGAAGGCGGGAAACCACGGTTCAAGGTAACTACAAGTAGAAAACCCTATCACACCTTCAACCTACTTTCAAAACAATCTTCTCTCCTCCAGTGCCTACACATTGGACGCAGAGCTCGGCAGCTCGGCAAGGTGCCCGACCTAGGGTTTTCAAGCCCTCCCAACTGAAAACTATACCATCACTAAGACAACCTACCCAAACGTTGACAAGAATATCATCCACCCATCTTTGAGGACATCAGCGCCATCGACGCCCTTAAAAAGCTGGACCATACAAGCCACAGCTACAAGAATGTTGTTACAAGATTCAGCACGGGCAAGACAGGAAACTCCGCTAAGTCATAGAAAGTGCGGACCATGAAATAGCTACTTAGCTCACGTAAGTAACATCAAAAATATCCAATTTGCTTGAAGCGCGAAAACACCCCCTTCAAAATTATACACTGAGCACGCAAAAGAATGAGGCATTGGGTTCTATCATGCGCGCTTTGGAGGGCGGCAGCACGCAAACGTTTAGACTAGACTACAATGGCCCATGCACTGCATCATGAAAACTTACTGGCTCCAATAGCGGCACCACTCAATGGCGCAGTACCAGGTGCGCCAATGGTACCCTGCGCGATGCCGGCCTGCCCGATCCTCATCAGACCATCTTGCATGGGGTCCGGATGCAGAGGACTTTGCCTTTGCCTTTGACGCCGAAGACTGCTTGGCGCGTGCACTCTCCTGCGGTCTCACCCTTGCTCGAGCCGTGCGGAGGTTGTCCGTGAAGATGCTGCTGATCTCCTCCATCAAGGAGTTGAGGGTCGAGTTGAGGGTCATGCCCTTGAGAACCACCATGCCATTGAAGGCCAAGATCCTGCGGGCAACCTCCCTGCCAAGAGCCAAACCGGCGTATGTTGCGGCATCCATGAAAGAGCCATGGATGTTGAGGGTGAGTGTCTCATCAGCCAGGTGGACCACGCGCATGTGGGCAGTGGATGCGAACTCTGCCTGGTTTCCTGTCCCCAAGATAACCTGTTGGCGGGCGTGCCCCGCGTCAGGAAGGAAACTGCGGGAGACAATCTCAAGTCGCCATGTCTCGGTGAGCTTCAGCTCGGCGTAGGCTGCTAGATTTCTATCAGTCTTAAAAAGCTCTGCTTCCACGGCTCGGAAAACATCCAGAGGTCTCGCGGTGGCTTTCCCTGGTCGAAAACCCAGGGCTGCTTCTCGGATGGATGGCCTCCATTCGACTCTGGACACCAAACTCAAGGTGCAGTTTCCTGAAGGCTTCGTAGCCACAAGCCGCTCCAAACTGCTTCTGCTCACACTGCCTGACAATGCCAAGTGCCCTTTGGAAATCTCCAAGTGACTGCCAGAGGAGGTTAAGGAACCTCGCTGAACGGGCTGCTGGGCCCTTTTCCAAACTGTTCTGCTCGATCTCTGTCGGAGTGATAATGGCCCTATACAACTCCTTCGGGCAGAAGTCGTCAAGCAAAGCCATCCAAAATGACAAGCTTTCAACGAACTGAGACCAGTGACTGATCTCAAGGACTCTTGTGGTCATTTTCTGGTGGTCCAGCACCGGAATCTTGGGGATGTAGTTTTCTGCTTTCCAATGCCTGACACCACCGGTGTCCTTTTCCACTTCCATGGGTTCTGGATCCGTGGAGGAGCCAGCTGCTTGTCCTTGCGCACTTCCACTGTTGTCGTTGGCAACTTGCAGCTGAGTCATGCCCTGCACAAGATCAACCAAGTCAGCAATCTGCTTCGACTGCTGTTGCACAACCTGAAACGCAACTGTGGGCTCCAAAACAACTTGTTGAGGTTGAGTTGGCTGGGTCACTGTCGCTTGTCCTGCGTTCCCTGGAACTTCTCCTGAACCACGCGCTTGCCCAGGAAGTCTCAACGGCGGCACCTGAGTCGTTCCCAGAGGCGTTGGTCTCCTAGAGGCAGTCCTTCTGGTAGGGCTCAAGGAAAACCTTTGAGGCAAACTGCTTACTCTCCTACAAGCCAAGTGAGGAGCACTTCCTGGGCTTTGTTGTCTTGTTCGCCGTCTTCGAGGACTCCTTCCACGCTCTGAGAGTCTCGAGGAGCTGAATTTGAATCACGTTCTATGTCACTGAGCGTGGCTGACCACGCTCCGCTACCACGAAAAGTTTCAACACCAAGTTGAAGATACCCAAAGGCTAGTTTTTCCACTCAAGCCCAAGACAATCTCAACCAACCAAGTAAGTTCACGTACAGCTCACTCAAACAAGTCGCTAGGGCAACTACACAGCTCGGCACACTCAGACACTTTCTTTTCTCGCGCTTGAGCCAAGCAAGTCCAGCGCCGTTCTCCAAGCTCAAAGTCTGCGCTCACTGCAAAACAAAACTGCTTCAGCTGAAAACAATATGACCCCTCCGAAAGCTCGGCACTTCCTATGGAGGCACTATTTTCACAACTCCACGCTTCTGGAGCTTTCCTCACTTACAGCTCTCATCATTGAGGTTTTTCAGCTCAAAAACTTGGAAAATTATGCTCGCTCAACCAAAAACACGCGGCAACCACGCAAGTCTACCTGAAATCACGTGACCCCTCATGTTACACCAGTGATATGTCTCCGACATGGTCTCAAAAAACACAGAAAAATCTCAACGCATGCAAAAACTTTTTCAAACTGGCTTCGTGTCTGCTGCAGCAGCATACAACCAAACAAGGTAAAACCAACAAAAACTCTTCGCGGCGCAAATTCTTTACTTCGTGGGTCTGGCTCATACTTATTCAAGGGACCTTCCAGTAAGCACCTTCTCTTGTGAGGTGATCTCTACCGCGGATTGGCCTGTCTGGCCAGCTCTGTGCTTGCATGTCTGCATCTGACTTTCATGATGGATTCCCATGGCACTTATGGAAGAAAATGCACTCTTGTATGTGGCTTGAAGTGGCTTGTGGTTCTTGTGTCTGCAGTTGACGTGGCAGCGCACCTGAACATTATTTTCATGGAGCGAAGATAAAGATCAAGTCGCTTTGTCTTTCTTGTCATGATCGTGTTCAACAAGTTGTGAGGATCAGTCCGAGTCAGACGGATTGTGGATTGTGGCCCTGCTGTCGCTGTCAATGAGAAGCGTAAGACATTCAGCAAAGTACGTTCTGGCAGCAGTCTGCTTCCAGCCACAGCAGAAGTGTACGCGCAGCCTGGGTTAGCTATTTCCGTGCGTGCGAAAGGATCCGATCTTCTGCATGTTTACGTCCATCTTGCACGCAAAGATCCATACTTTCGGAACCAGGCTTAGGACGAGGTCAAACATCTTTACAAGGTGGCCTGAAACGCTAGAACTCAGCTTTTGCCGCATCTCTGCTTTATTGATGCAGAGACGGCCAGGCAGCATAAATTTCTTTCTGTGTCTGAACTGAGTTTGCCCGTCTTTCGAAGCAATGGAGATGGATTCAGCAATTCCAGGCACTAGCGTCACTGAATGAACAGAGACCTTTGAGCTTGTTCAGAACATTGACAGGCTCTACTTCTACTTGATTTCTGGAAATCTGGGAAGCCTGATCAAGACTGCCGGGTCTGCACCGTGCTGTTCGCTGCGCTGGAGGCTGCATGGACCGGAGCCGTCCGACCCAGAACAGCAGGCAACCTTGCCAGCCCTCCACTTCAGTCTTTCCCTGCAAAGCCCCGCTTCCAAGTTCTGGGCTACCATCAAGAGGAGAAGCACCAGAA